ACAGACCGGCTATGGACGGCTATGATTAATTATTGTTATTGTTATTATTATTACTCCTATAAATATAATAACAATAATAATAATAACAATTATTATTTTTCCTCAACACATAACCAGCCAAAGGCAGCCGAGGAGCCAAGCTCCTCGAGGCAGCTGCTGGCCAGTGCGCCGGCTGCCGCAAGCTGCGACCCATAGGGGTCCTGAGAGGCGGACAGCATCCGAGGGTTAGGGTTTAGGGTTTAGGGTAACGTTTCAGGTTGGTAGGGCTGTAAGGCATTACTTTTATTCTTATTTTCATTAGTGATATTAATACTATTATTGTAACTTTATAAGTAGTAGTGTTATTGTTGTTATTAATACAGGGCCCTAGGGTTTAGAGGGTTTTAATGGCTTAGGGATGATGGGGTGTACGATTTAGGAACTTCTGCTCTTTAAGTTGAGGAAAGGGACCGGCGGATAGCAGAATTCATGGTTTCGCGTCGGACGAATCTCCGGCTTGGCTGAGTTGGGTGTGCAAGAGTAAGAATAAGGCGGCGTGGGCACACGATGATCCCTTCTTGGGTTCCGGGCGTCGGGGGTCTCCACTCTACGCCTGTAGCTGGTCATGAACCAGTCGATCCTAACACACTTGTCTGAATTTTACCATTCTTATATATATATATATATATGTATATATATATATATACATTTGATGGTTCCCTGATCACTCGGATCCTCCTTCTAAGAATACCCCCCAGCAGATGAAACTATCAATTTCAGAGGAAGGCCCCCCCACATGCCTCCTACCAGGGGCTGAGACAACGACTTTTAGCATGCCCTTTTTCTGGCTTTGTAAATCTGCGTGTTTCGGGTTTAAAGGCTGTTCGGGCTGACGCGATGGGATGCGTGTCCATCGACTGGGTTAAGGCCCCCACCACCCAGTAGTAGCGGCGTACTGAACCACAGTAGGATCCCAATGCAATCGCCAACATGACTTCGAGAAGCCCCCAAGGTCTTGCTGAGTGGCTGAATGTGGCTGGAAAGGCGACTAAGCGCGTGCTAGATACCCTTCTCCATCTTAAACCTGGTTTATGGTTTAGGGTTTAGGGGTTTCAGCACTCGCAACTAGACAAGCAGGCGAGGATCCGAGTACCAGAACGATGATTAGCTGGTTTCGGGGTTTAGGGTTTAGGCTTCGAAACCCTAAACCAGATCAGAAGCCAAAGGAAAGCAAGACCCCGAAGCCCTGGCCGGCCGACGGCCCAGCGTCACGATTCTGCTGTCATCCTTGCGATAGATAAGCAAGATTTCTCATCACACCCTCGATCCTGGTTATCGATCTGTTAAAAGCAAGAAGCGCTCGAGACTCCAATAAAGCGCTCGAGGCAAAGGAGAAGAGTAACAATCAAGCGATTCATGCACGAATGCCGTTTTAAGTAGCGAAACCCATGGGGAGCACAAATATATGTTACATTGGAGGATCCAGATTACTATAAATATAATCAGGATAGGGTTTTGGAGTAGATTACTACTATAAAGATAACAAGGGACCCTCAAAATGATCTTTATAATTACTTAGACACCTATATTAGAAGTAAAACCGAGCCAAGAACTTAATGCCAAAGCCGTGCTAATGGCCAGGCGACCGGGTGACCAGACCGTAGCCTGGGTGCTTCTGGTTAGGGGCTTGGGGTTTAGGGCCTTACCTTAAGAACCCAAAACCCACTTTTTTAAAGGTTCTTATTATGGGATTTATGGGGACCCTACAAAAAAGTAGGTTTTGGGTTCTTAAGGTAGGGTGGTTCTGGGCTTCCGGCTGGTTTGTGAGATTATCCGGCTTTGCTTACGGAGGCTTGCTGAAGCTTTATTATAGGGTGTACTTACTTGTCTAAAGCGCCCGTGCAACCACAACAGCCATGAAATGTTCAATACTCTCTTAGCGTTTGATTGCAATAAACTTTGAAAACACTTCCTACGCACACCAAAGTTGCAAAGAAGCAAGGGTTTCACTATCAAGGCGATTGGTTTCAAAGCCGAAGGGTGTTTGGGGCCAGGGGTTCAAGGTGTGGGGTAAGTTTGGAGCGTCAGGGAGTTTAGGGATTCAGGCCTACTGTAGTGTCTGCAGCACACTACTGTGTTTTGGAGTATGTTCGTGAATTCAGGGTTTATGCTTATGCTGTGGCAACTCGGACGCAGCCAGATGTTTAGCGTCTCCAGGTTTTTCAGCATGGTAGATCAAGGCTTCGAGATGCATGTGGTGTTTTGTTTAGCTAAGTCCATCGCTTCTGGTTGCTGGGTTCTGCTTTGGGGTTTCCGTTCGCTGACGTCCGAATTCGGAATTTGACGTACGTGACGCTCGGCCCGAAGGCGGCGGCTTCTGAGCACGCTCGGCCCGGAGAGGCGGACGGGAAGGAGGGGGGCAGGAAGTGGGTGGAGGGGGATCAGGGGCGGAGGGGTTTCGGGATAGAAACAAAGCTTTTTGGGAGCCGTCTGAAAGATTCTGCGGAGCGAGGGCTGTGCAGCCCAGGACCAAACAAAGATGTACGGGGTCAAACGAAAGATGTGGGGTGGCAATGGGGGGTCGAAAAAAAAACATGGGGCGAGGGATGAAAAAAAACATCGGGGGTCGAAAAAAAGGTGTCCCCGGACGTGACCCTCCGCCTAGCCTTAGGGTCCAAAGGCTTAGGAGCCAGAACTTCAAGATTCCAAAAAGCATGTCTTGGGGGTGGATTGCTTGATTCCAATGTCTACAACTCGCTGTCCGCCTGCGGCAATGCAGAAGACATGATCAACGCGTGCGTTCACTCGTTCACTGTTGTCGGAACACAAGCAATTCTTGGCTCTTACAGATCAGGGGGAAAGTTTATCATAGAGAAGGCCGTTGCGACAGACCAGAGTTCAACCAACCTCAAAAATCCCAACCAGCACATGCATCTGTTGCACTGTTCTCCGGCACAACCCCATTGCAGCCGAGGAACCAACAATACCTCAGTTCCAAAACGCACATGTAACACTGTAATTTAAGGGCCTTTATAATCAGAATAGAAGGCTTACAGTGCTTACAGAGTATATCATAACCCACAATAAGCATCAGGAGCTCTAAGGAAATTTGACCCCAGTTAATTCTTTTTGGAGTTGGTCATGGTCGCGGGCCGGGGCATGGAAAGTCAGGGTGGCGCATCCATCCTGTGAGTCAGGCTCCACCGTGCAAGCAGCCCTTAGCAATGCCATTTCGGCTGACAGCTCCGATGCGCAGCACCAGACAGGCTTGCAACTGGTGTGCGATATGGCCACCACCCTCGTGGCTAGCTGGTGCCGCCCTTTGTCGAAATCCTGGCGCACGGTACACAGCTGAATAAGATAAGGACTACAAGCTTTATAGGGCTCTCTGGCTCCTGGAACAGATATTGGGTGCTGTTCGCCGCGACAATCGCTTGCTACAGGACGAAAACATCCTATATACCAGTACAGGACTGCAAGCCTGTCGCCGAACCAGTTGCATGAGAGCAATCCTCGGCGTCTTTTTCCAGCTCATCGCAGTCCTCAGGTGAAGTTGAACTCCGAAGACTGGTAGACTAGGAACAACAAGAAAGCACATAAAGCACCAGAGTGGTGAGTGGTCATGATCGCAAAAGCAGAAGTGACACATTCAGTAGCACTTCAAGCAGCAGGCCTCGTTGTCTAGCCGTGAACCCAACGCTCCCCTGACGACAGGATACGAGTTGACACCTGTGACGAAACTAGCTTCAAATTAACCACCTGACAAAACTCACCGGGTAATTCCACAGGTTCGATGCCCGAATCCCTAAAGCCAAAGCACAGACACAAGCACACCGTTCGAGTTCGGGCATCGTCGCATTATCACGCAAACAAGACCAGTGAGATCTTGCCTTCCTACGTAGGCTTCCACGAGTACAGACAGTATAGAAGCCAGCATGACAACCAGCCTGGGCTTTCGCGAAAGCCGGCTAATACTATGGGGTATGCACTCAAAGTCTCAGCCAGGCATTCTGTTCTGGCTCCTTGTGTGCTGGAGAAAGCTTTCAGCTAAGCAGGATTAATGAATCGCTCTGGTCTTATTAACGCTGCTAAGTCAAGTATATGAATATGAAGTAAAGTATCTCCGGGCAGAATAATGGATTTGGCATCCGGCAGGAGTTCCCGGATTGCCAGACAATCAAGCGAATGATCAAGCCGGCTCACACCATTGAGTTTGGTCAAAGTTGTTGGAAAATGAAGTAGCTTTCACTATCTGGTTTACTGTACAGGATAGAGCACAGTACAGTATGTTGGAAGGTATTCTATATGCAGTCTGACTCTAGGCTTCTCTGCTTCGGGTCCCGGGTTGAACTTGGTTCCGAGATGGGAACTTGCCCTGAGGCCCTATCCTCTCCGCCGGACAGAGCGCGAACCCCCACACCCAAAACCCTACAAGGCCCCCAAGTTACATCTTTGGATCTTGCAGTTATAGAATAGAAGCCCTTACAGTAGATGCCCGTCCCCCCTTCAGCCCCAAACCTCCACGAAGTATAAAACCCAACAAAGGGAGCCGAGGGGCCCAGATCGCCTCCTTGGGAAGCTCCTGTCGCCTTGGGAGGCGCCCGCCCGCCTTCGCCAACTCGGCGAGCCAGGAACCTCCACGCAACCACTTTTGCGTTCATTGTGCTCTATAGTTGTTGGCATTGTATGACACCCCTACAGATTTTGTACTGTAGGTACGAAACAAGTAAGAAACGCTGGGGAAGACTAAGATTCTCTCTCTACAACTATGGCTCAAGCGAATGTAGGGATGAGGGAGGTTATTGGACCCATAATAACAAGGAAGGAAGGATGTATACGTAAGGGGCTTGTTGGGCTGTGCCGAGATCATATGGCTTTATAGCGGGTTTCACAAAGGGCTTGCGGTACCCGGTACCCCGGGCTGTCCCCACATGAAGCTTCTCGCACTTCATGACTTGACAATCGCAAGCACCAAGGTACACCCCGTCTGTACGGCAAAAGGCTCTGCAGCTCTATCGGAACTGCATAGTACCCCCCAGCAACTAGAGGCGCGAGCCATCTAGGGCTTAAGTCTTCAGTGCCAAGCTCCCTACACTGCTCCGCTGCACTCCGCCCAAGTCACATGTAAGTTACGAGGCGGAGCATGACCGTAATATAAGGGCCTTAATAATTCGAATAAGGTTCTGGGGTCCATTATAATATACGTATAATAAGGAACCCTAAAGAACAATATAGGTAGTTATTAAGGCCCCTACATTAACCAGGCCTCGCAAAAGCACGATGGGCGCCTCGCCACCTAGGCTCAGGACTCACGCGGAAAATCCCGCGACAGCGACTCAATTGCCGAAGCCAGTTGGTCACAAGCCCCCAATATCTGCAACTCAAGCCTACACCCTGAATCCACATAGTGAGACGATGCGGCAATGCCCCGAAGCTGTTGTGCCTAAGGGTTGCTGGCGCTTGACGCCTTGCACGACGCACGAGCCTCCGAAATCTAGGAAACTACGAGCAGGCACAACGGGGGCCATTCCTGCATTTAAGCACACCTTCCATGGAAAGATAATCTCAAGCTGCTAGATGCAATGACCACCGCAGGCCCGAAACGGAACTCTCTACCCCAAACCTCGGGATGCTCTTCTTAACCCTAAGTGTCCATGTACTGATATAGTATCTACATTGGCCCCGAAGTACCTATATAGGGATTACTTTAAGGCCAAAGTATACACTATTTGGGCACATGGACCCTTAGGGTAACCCTAAACCCTAAACCCTAAATCCCAAACCCTAAACCCTAAATCCTAAACCCTAAACCGGGATATCTGCGTCCAGGCTGCTAACTCCTGGTCGCAGTGGCTCCCACCTGGTCTGCAAGGCTTCGGGCTCTGTACAGTTTGGCGGCCTTGAGCTTCCGAGATGTAGCAAATAAGCGGATTATGTAATGTAGGGGCCTTACTATATAATTGAGATTATGTAATGTAGGGGCCTTACTAATTAGCATAGGGTTTTGGGGTTCCTTGTTTTGAGTATAGTATGACGTACCCCCCAAACCCTGTTCTAATTATTAAGGCCCCTTTTTATTAATTGACTTGGGGGTTGAACAGGCTGAGTCAACATTGCGTCTTAATGTCAGTTCCCGTGAAGTGGGATTGGAACAAGTCTGCTGGTATAGAGCCCCTCTGCAGGCACCTACGAATCGGATATAGAGTTCATGCATGGTGGAAATTGATGGTTTGGGGTTTGCTGGAAGTTTTCAGGGTCAAAACGCTGCTCTGCGTAATGTTGGGGCCTTCAAAAATAGAATATGGTCGTGGGGGATATTATACTACAATTATAATAAGGAACTCCCCAAAATATTATAGGCAATTACGTAGGCCCCTTGAGTATGGCGGAGGAAACGCTGAGATAAAGGTCGAGGCCGGGTTTGTTCCCTTCACATCTTTCGACGAGAAGGGTGTGGCGTCGCGATCTGCGATAGCTTCGATGCTGCTCTCGCTCGCATCATATACCACAGAAGCTTTACTTCGGGGTGCGCTGCTTCACTTTTTTCGGTGTTGCAAGCCCACCACTTCCAATCATCCAGGCCTTCTCAAAACTTTGAACCCTGATTGGACGACCCGAAGGCCCAAAAACCTGCCTGGGAACCTTGGGCGATATGGCCGGCGGGCTGTGGGGCTGGGTTCCCCGAGTTGAGGCTTCCGGGTTAGGGACCCTGACTTGGGGGTGAGAATGTCCAGTCATGGCTTTTGAGGATGGTATGACCCAGCGACAAGCCAGGTGTGGCCTTGATCCTGCCGTCCAGCTCCAAACCCTAAACCCCGAACCCTAAAAACCCTTAAACCTTCACCCTGCCCGCGTAGTTCAGGGATCAGGGACAAGCCCCGGCCCATGCGCTGAGCGCCCGGCAAGCTGCCAACTTCAGTGTACTTGATCTGGGCAGGGGTCGTTCTACAAGCCGGGGCTTTTAGTTCTGGTGCAGCATGGCAGTGTCGTAATGAAACAAGCCCAAACCCGTAAAAAATCCACAACACTCAAGCCCGGGAGCCCTAGAAACAGTCTTGGTTGCTGAAGGGGGTGCACTAACTTGGCACAGTCCTGGGGGCAGGGGCAGGTTTTAAGTTCGTTGTCTACGTATTGCCTCCTTACATGAAGTAACACGTATCAGGGATCCTGCTGGTCGGGTATATAAAGGGCATCAGGGTCCCTTGCTTTCCCAAACAACTGTATAAGTTTTGACATCTTTGCTTACTTTGGTGTTTGGGTCTGTTGGCTCAAATCTCCGATGTCAAGTTGCTATCTTGAACCCTCCCAAGTCACTGCAGCTGCTAGAAAACCATCCCGTTGCTTGACCAGGGTTTAGGGTTTCGGGTGAAATGTAAATAGGTTTCTCAAAACCAATATATAAACCAATACTGTGAAGCTTTCGCTCAAAAGTCAAGGGATGAGCCCAGGTTTGCTCATCCACTCCACTGCTTCCAGGGCACTAGCTTCTTGAGAGCCATTCGAGGTTCCTGCAGATCTTGATCCTTGGAGATAAGGCCAGCAAACACATCCTGTTCTCAGGCAATAGCCCTTCAAGATCTGTCGGGCACTTTACCCTCATCCCTGGTAGCCTCTCACTGGAGGGCCCTTCTACTCACAGTCGCCTCCTAAACGAAGAATCTTAACGATAACTGAGAAAGAGAATCAACAAGGAGAGGCCGACATGTTTCGAAAGAGGCTTTCCAGCATGTCTCCTTCTGCCGTTCAAAGTGGCAGTGTTGTTGCTATGGACTTGGAAGTGTTCAATCTGAAAACTACTGCATAGACGTGAAAGACCTGCAGCGAAGATGCTGACAAACCGTGCTCCTCACCATCCTTGATGACCTCGTCCAGTTGTCCAGGGTTCACTCTCTTGGCACTCACTTCCAAAGCTGCTGCGCATCCAGATCTTGCAAGGGCGCGTGAGGAGAACTTCGAACAACGGAAAAACGCGGGTGGGAGAAAACCCTCTCAAACCTCCATGGCATGAAGACAATCAACAAATAGCCACGAATCGGGTTGGCAATTAGAACAAGTAGGACCCCAAAAAAGCACATAAGCAAAAATTAGGATAGGGATATCCCATATAACCCCCCTTGTAATGAAGCCCAATAAGGTAGGGATATCCCTACAAAATGCTTATGCTTATGTCCTTTTTGGGTTCCTAAACAAGGTCTCTTCTACTCCTGGTTTACAGGAACGGACACTTTGGGAATGCTATTACGTGTTATTCTGACAGTAGGGCAGTGCTGCCTCCCTGACGCCGAAGACATCTTGGTCGTCGATGGCAGTCCGCATCCGGGCCAAGAGCTCATCTCGCTGTTCCTGAGCTCACGGACGAAGTCGAAAGTGTCTAAACTTGCCTTGCTGCAGACTAAGGAATCTAAATTTGACTGCCTTGCGGCCGAAAAAAACCCAGCGCTTGACAACGTGCCGGTGACAGACCGATGACCGTTTCACCACCCAGACCCCTGTGGGCACATTTCGAAGTTCTGAAATCGGGACTGACTAAGAATCAACATAGCACTTGCGATGTAGCACCCCCAGGCCACGCCTTGAAGAAAAGGACAAGGCCCAAAACCCTAAACCCCCAAAGCCCTAAGCAATCAAGCCTCGACTCCTTGAACTCCGAAAGCCTCCGCCACAAACCCTCAGAGCCTAAACTTCCACAAGCCTTGCTGGGTTTAGGGCTTAGGGAGTTTCAGGGCCCAACATCCGTATCTTCATGCTGTGGTAAAGTAGTAGATGTCGAGAATGCCAGAACTAGACAGATCAAAAATGAAGACTTACACCCCGAAGTCCTGAGCCCAGCCAAAGCTCAGGAGGCTCTTACTGCAGCTTCCTGGTCGAATTCCCCAAAGCCACCGAAACCCACGAAGGTCTTCGTCGGCTTTAAGGGTTCGCAGGCTAGAGCCCTAGACTTCAACCCTAAACCTTAAACTGCCCTAAACCCTTTTAAAGCCGAAACTGCCCTAAACCCTTTCAAACCCGAAACTGCCCTAAACCCTCTCAGAGCCGAAACTGCCCTAAACCCTTTTAAACCCGGCCCTAAACTGCCCTAAACCCTTTTAAACCCTAAACTGCCTAAACCACCGAAACTGCCCTAAGCCCTTTCAAAGCCGAAACGACCCTTTCTAAACCCGAAGCTGCCCTAAACCCTCTTAAACCCGAAACTGCCCTAAACCCTTTCAAACCCGAAACTGCCCTAAACCCTTTCAAACCCGAAACTGCCCCAAACCCTTTCAAGCCCGAAACTGCCCTAAACCCTTCAAACCCGAAACTGCCCTAAACCCTTTCAAACCCGAAACTGCCCTAAACCTTTCTAATTCGAAACTGCCCTGAACCCTTTCAATCCCGAAACTGCCCTAAACCCCTATAGCCACTGTAGGAACCCTACTTTCTACTTTATTCCCACTCAGCCCTAAACCCCTTCTTGCAGTCAGGCGAGGCTCCAGCCAAACGCGCAACCTCGGGTCCAGGAGGTCCCGAGAGCCTCATGCAGCCGGTGCTTGGGGCCCTGTAGAAGGGTTTAGGGCTTTCGGGTTTTAGGGCTTAGGGGTTTAGGTTTAGGGTTTAGGGGTTTAGGGGTTCAGGGCTTTAGGGTTTTAGGGCTCAGGGGTTTAGGTTTAGGGGTTCAGGGTTTAGGGGTTTAGGATGATACTGGGTCTACGCTCTCACAACTCGGACTTGCCAGGCGAGGTTCCATAGTCGCAGGTCGGGTGACACTGTTTGCAGGTTTTAGGGTTCAGGGGTTTAGGGGTCTAGGGGTTTTTAGGGCTTAGGGAGAATGTAGTAGAAGGTAGGGTTCCTATAGTAGCCATGGGCCTGTAGGTTATAAGGGTTTAGGATCGAGGGGTTTAGGATTTCGGATGCTTTAAGTGCTTCTTACGGCCTTGGGGTTTGAAGGTTGATGTAGGACTGAGGGTTTAGGGTAGGACTTGGGGTTAGGGTTCAGGAGTTTAAGGTGTTTCAGGCTTGAGGTTTATGACTGGTCGTGGGTGCTTGGCTTAAAGTTGGGACATGAAAGAGTCTTCGCGGGCTGCAGTTGCCATACCTACAACCCAGCTGCTGAGTATCCCAAGGCACCCACAGCTGCCACATCATTATACCACGCTTCAGCGATGGAACCCCGAAAGCGACACCTCGAAAACGAACTTTTTTCACTCCGAGACCCCCCTGTACCACTCCTGCAGCCCCAAAACCATCGTACCGAAGCTCCCAGAGCATCCGAAACCCCTAACCCCCCCTAAGCCCCAAGGCCTACACCCCTAAACCCCCACTTCCAAGGACGGCGGGTGGCAGCCGGAGAGGGCGGCCTGCAGGGTGAATTGCGGGTCCTGACCTGACAATGGGATTTCTTGCCTCCTACCTCGGGTTTCGGTGTTGAAGGGCTTAGGGTTGAGGGGTTTAAGGGGTTACAAGGTTTCGGGTCTAGAAGGATTTGGAGGGATTAAGGTTTCGACTCTCACACTCGCACAAGGCCGGCAAGGCTCCTTACGGGGATTAGGGTTTAGGGGTTTAATGGGTGATAAGGTGTTTAGGGTCTAGAAAGATTTTGGTTTGGGGGTTTAGGGGTTGCGACTCATACACTCGCACTCAGGCAGGCATGGCTTTGGACGGTCTAGGATTTGTTTTGCCTCCCGCCTGGGTAGGACGAACCTACGGGTCTAAGGCTTAGGGCTTCCGAGTGTAGGCTTTAGGGAATAATCAAGAGGTTTCTCCCAGAAGCTTTCTCTTAGAAGTCCCGGTGTACGAGAGGGCTCGAGTTATTAGCAATGTTACCCCCGTGAGTTAGGGCTTCTGGGTAAGGGTTCGGTTTCCACTGCTTCGGGTTCAGAGCGTTCAGCGGTTTAGGTATTACAAAAGGGTGCTTAGAAGGGTTTGAGGCGAAGGGTTTGCAGCGTTTGGAGCCTTTCAGGGCTTTGGGTTTGGGAGCTTTCGGTTTTCGGGGCTTTGGTCACAAGGTCTGTTTTGGGTAGGAAGCACAGTTTTCACTCAGTTTTTTTTCGCAAGGGACTCGTCTGCTGCCCTTACTGCCCAGGTTGACCCAGAAGACAGTACTCATGACTGTGATACTCAGTCAGAGCGATAATGATAAGGGTTCTCATGCCTCTTGGCAGCACGATTGACTGTCCCTGCAGCAAATGTCTGTGTTTCAGTGTGACCTGGGGGTAGGGTTTCAAGGGTGGACCATTCTGGACCCCAGCAGCGTTCCGACAAGTCATGCCTGAGGCAGCCATGAGTATAAATGTCTATCGCCTCAATCAAGATACTTACTAAGCCTGCTGGCAATGCCCGGATACTTCTCGTAGTAGCTGCTCCGCCGACGCATTTACCAGATCATGTTGTCAGTTTTGCTGCCTTGTTGTGCACGGCCCATGTATATGCACTGGTGCAGGCTCTTGGCGGCGACGACTCTTAGGTGTCCGTCGTTACGTTGCACTGTTCAAGGCTAGGCCATTCTCCCGACACCTACATACACTGCCCTGCACTGAGTATCACTGAGTCCCACGAATCCCAAACCATGAATCCAGAGTCTCGGAGGCCTCAAAAGGTGGGATTTAGGTGGGATATTCCCCGAATAATAGTCCTTATATAAGGGATCCTTCATCCTACCTACCTTCATCCCAGCTGCGGACGCCTCCGAAAGTCGACCCCGCCGAGATCCTTTTGCCAAAAAGGCGCGGAGATCTCTCGAGATGTAGAGGATTGCCTCGCTGTTCTTCTTGATGGCTTCGAGCCTTTGCAGCCGAGGGGGGGGGGGATGTCGAACATCGATGTCGACTTGCAGCTTGCAGATTTAAGTTTTGGATTGACAGTAGCTGGCTCTTTCATCTCAAAGCCGAGATACCCTAACTCTGATGTTGCGACACCTATGGCAGTCATACAGGATGGGCCTGGACTATGCGTTGGGCCTAAGCACTGGCAGCAGGGCTTTTCGAGAGCATCACGCTGCTCTGGGGGTTTGGGTTCATCCAAAATATGTCTTAACTCCCTGTTTTGGGTGCCCAAGAAGCCCGCTACTTTAGAGAACAACCTTGGATCGCAAAAAGCTTCCCGGATTACTGTATAGGTTGCGGCACGCGAAGACGGGGTCCGACTTCAGCGCGGGCGAAGCGTAGCGCATGGCGTTGCCATCCTGCTCCACGGCCTCGGCTTAAGATTCTGAGCGCTTTCCGTGCAAGAATTATTCATGTGTTTTGGTCTTGCCTTCGGAGTTCTTGAAATAAACCCTAAGCATTAAACGCTTAAGTCAGCTGCGGCCGATCGCAGTGTTAGTTTGGGGATCTACTTGGAGGTTCATGAGCAGCTGCAAGTGAGTTTCCAAGTAGGGTAACTGGAATTATAACCCATATTAACTACCCATGCACCTCCAAGTATGAGTTTATAGGGTTTTGCTGTTACAGGGCTGTTTGACTCTCGCCTAGCAAAGACTAAGGGTGTAAGGGCTGAGGGGCTAGCAAACAGCTCACCGGATGCTGACTCACTTTATCTGTATGCTTGACTTGCTAGAATGGCCATGTACCACCAAAAAACCGGCTAGATTGGAGGGCCAGGACCCTTTGACCCACTGGGGATGCGACTGCCAGGACCACCTGTGCAAGTGGTCGGAATCTCAGACGAGGGTACATACTCAGGAAGTTGGAGGTTCAGCTCGGGACTGAGTGCACAGGCCTATTATGTTCAGCAAGGTTCGGGCGCATCTGGCACTTCAACGGTGAGCGGCTCAAGTTCCGAAGGCATTCAGCCGACAACATTCCAGCAACTGCTCCCTGGCATCGTGCGGAGGAAACTGGCTCGTGGAGTGTCATACCTGTGCATCACTTGCGGCCTGCTGTAAATAGTTGCGGCTCATGACGGCAGTGTACAAAGCAGTTTCCAGAGTCTCTAGAGTATCAGCACCAGGATCACAACTCATCTCGCATGGCGCTTGTACGTAACCAAACATTTGAGGCCCACTTCTCAGTGTTTCGCGTGGGGCAGCCGGCATGGATGCTCGACCACAGAAACCGAGTAATGCTTCCGTCTGGTTCCAGCTCCATATTGTACCAAAAAAGAGCGCTGCCCGCACGAGGCTGGACCACCTGGGTTCGTTTCTTGAAACTTATAGCCTAAGTTACAATAACCGGAAAGCCCAACACTTACCATAGACCCCCTAATATGGAAACTTAAGTTTGAGTGCCGTAACAAGAACCCAGCGACCAGGGCGGTAGAGAAGGGAGGCGGTGGTTGCGCGCCTGGATGTTGTGGGCAGCTGTGGACAGACTGGCATCGAGCTTCGATATCGCTCCACACATCCTCCCCTGCAAGGTAAAAATCTCGGGAACGGCTTCCGTTCAGGTCAGTGCCGAAGAGGACAGTCTCGCCTCCATCCTCGATGTCGTTCCTGGGTTGATGTTTTAAACATTCTTCAACACTGCAACAGGCAACAACAACACCACACACAGCAACATATACATGCTTGAACAGCTCGCATAAACATCTGTCAGAGCAAAAATGAAAGAACAAATGGATATAAGTTAATCAACCAACCAACTACATGACATAAGTACGAGTACATTCAACAATGTATTGAACAAGAGGCAAATGAAAATGTACGCGTAGTGTGTCTGTGTATATACGTGTGTGTGTGTGTGTACGTGTGCATGTATGTATGTATGTATGTACGTATGTATGTATGTATGTATGTATGTATGTATGTATATATATATATATTATGTAAGTAGAAAAACGTGTGTCTATGCAGGCATGAACCCATCTCATTCATTTAGGTACTAATTCGTTCGTTATGTCAGTCCCCCGTTCTCGTTTTTCACTGATTCGTCCATTCATGCACCAACTCTTTCATTCATGTCATTTCAACTCGCTTCAACTCAACTGCCAACTGTCCATTCATCCATTATTCATTCGTTCAATTCATCCGTTTCATCCATTTCATCATGTCTTTCATCATTCCATTATTTTTTGGATTCATTCCATACCAGGTCATGATTTATTGCATGCTATCGCTTCATCCATTCCATCCGTTGCATTCATTCATTCATGAAATTCATTCATGCATCCATTCATTTTGATTCACTGTTTCATTCATTTCATTTCATTTCATTTCTCATGTCATCTCATTTCATTTCATTTCATTTCATTTCATTGATTCATTCATTCGTTTCATTCCATTCATTTCATTCATTCTTTCATTCATCCGTTCCATTCCATTCCATTCCATTCCATTCCATTCCATTCCATTCCATCCTTCCTTCCTTCATTCATTCATTCATTCATTCATTCATTCATTCATTTCATTCATTTCATTCCATCCATCCATCCATCCATCCATCCATCCATTCATTCATTCATTCATTCATTCATTCATTCATTAATTCATTCATTCATTCATTCATTCATTTCATTCATTTCATTCCATCCATCCATCCATTCATTCAATTCATTCATTAATTCATTCATTAATTCATTCATTCATTCATGCATGCGTTCTTCCGTTTGTTATTTCTTTCCTTCGTGCATGTCACTCATAGTTACCTTTCAGGCATACATACATACCTACATACATACATACATACATACATACATACATACATACACACGCAAAAACAAGCATACACAAGCATTCTTAGAAGCACCCCAACTGAAACATATCACAGACCGCCCAGCTTCAAGAAGAAGAACACTGTTATGAAGCGGATTGCCTCCTGGGCTTCAGCGGCTGTGTCGTGGTGGCAAGAGTAGTGGCCACCGCCGGCTGGATATCTCAAGACCTGGGCGTTAGACCAGACAGGGATGGCACAATCATTGCGTCTAATTTTCAATGTAGTGTGGAAGTCATATAGTTATAGACTCACTGTAACGAAAGAAAGACGGCAAACAATTGGCAAACAATCAGTTAACCAACTCTAGGACCAAAAGACTTGCATGTCCTCTGCATTTCGTTGAACCAAAGATAGGGGCAAGCCAGTGACCCGAGCAACTTTGTCCAGAATGCCACTCAGACCTGCATGATCTTCATAAGAGAGCCAAGCCTGGTTTGAGAAGCGGGAGAACCATTCCTGGGATGCAATTCTTGTCTCTGAACGAAGCTCAAGCATCGACAGGCAGTGGATTGATGCGGAGAAAATTACACAATTTTCTGAGGGCAGCCCTGATTCAGGGGAATTCGAAAAGCAGGCGCGGAAGAATGCTGGCCAGTTTATGCCCTGGATCTCCTTCTTGCGGAGCTTCCTGCCGGCCGCCGCTGCTTCAGCTGCATTTGGCAATCCCAGTTGGTCATGCAGGAAGGCGGTGTAGTTTAAATCGACCATGTCTGCCGCCTCACGGAGGAAATCTTTGAGCTCTTGAAAATCCAGGGCACCATCTCGATCTGCATCGACCTCCTTGAAAATCCTTGCTGCCCGTTTCTTCGTCACCCTTTTCTTGTGGACTTGCGTCAAGCTTCTTGCCATGCCCTCTCGCAGAGCAGCTGTCTTGATTGTAGCTATCTCCTCCTGACTGACGAGGTCTTCCACCAAGAAGGCTGGCAACCCAGTGCTGTAGTCGCTGAGGGTCTGCACATGCACGTCTCTTCCGTCTTGAAGCTTCACCTGCGGCTTGCTTGCAGTGTAGGAGTGTAGGGTAAACTCCCCCTTTTCAACGATGTCCAGAAGGGAACCCTATTTCAGAACATTTCTTCTCTTCATACTAAGATGGCAGAAGGACCCTTGAGTCCTGAAGTTGATGTCTGGTGATCCAAAGCCTTACTCCTTAAAGCGCCACACCTCAAAACCCCAACCGCCGCCCAACCTCAGCCCTGTGACCGATCTTCACTGGATCACGCATCAAGAACTCTCCTCCCAGGTCAAGGAGATGTAAACAGGTCCGAACCATTACACTTTAAACTTAAAGGTGGTTGAGGGTTTAAGGTTTGGGGGGTTATAGTGTTCAAGAAGTCAGGATTAATGGGGTGTAGGATTGAACCCTATGCCTTTTGCCCTGTCCTCCGCCAGATTGCGCAAGCGCATGGAGGCCTGTGGCCCACAACCACCACCAGCAGCGCTCCATGTGGACAAAAAGCTGGCGCTATAGGGCTTATGGCTCCGTAATTAGGGTTTATGGCATGGTCTTGGGTTCAGTCAACGCAGAGTAAGTCGGGTTTGGGGCTTAAGGCTTCGGTTTAGGGCTTTGGGTTCTTTCCCTCCCGCTTAGCTGACTAGGTCGTTGCTTCATCAGGTCAACAATTCGGCAGGAACTTTTCCAGTTCAAGTGACTCATTTTAAAAGTCCTATAAGCCTACCTCAAACATGTGTGGCCATATGCCTCGGTTTCTAGGGGATTCCTGGAAGGTGTGCCAAATGTGGCTGAAGAGGGATCCTTGTCACGTCCTGGGCCGCAAGCACAGGAACCGTAATACCAGGAATGCCTCTAATAGAAGAGCCATAAAGCAAGGTTACACAATTCGTAGAATGCTCAAATGCCATACTCGCGGATATTTCAAGCTTAAGACCCTCTTGCGACATTCTGCATTATGTGTCATAATGCAGTGATGCCAACTACGAATTGCGATAGACTACACCCCTCAAAATTGCCTGCGAGTTTGTGTTTCAAGGAATGGGGTCGGGTGGGCCTGTTTTGGTGATCACTTGAGCCCAATGTCCTCAAACCTTCGAAACACCTCTGGATGCTATTGGTCAGGTTTGTTTGTAGTTTACGGTTTGGGGTTCACTTATAGGGGCCTTGCCAATTAGGAGTAGGGTAGCGAGTACGTTAGAGCATAAGTATAACTATACAGTGTTGCAATTCACTCTCATTACAGATTGTTCAAGGCATTTTTGTTGTGCCCCCCTCTCCCGTCCCGACAGTGGCTTCCAAGTCCACGAAAGCTAACGGGCATAATCCTGCGGTGCTGCGAATACCCAGAACTATGGAAATTACGGTCTATACGGCTGCAGATCATGCAGCGGTACGACAGTTGCCGAGAGCATTGCCAAACGAAGCTCGAACCACGCAGCCCTTCTGGCATCTGATTCCTCGTGATAGAGACTTAGGCACAATGCCTGGGTGCAAACCTGCATGGAGTATGCTAATGCTCTAGTCGCATTAGATTCCTAGGTGAGTATTGACTGTAAGGACGGAAGAAGGAAAGCGGCTTGATGGCCTGCTCGTCGCCGCAGAGCTCGTCTGATGCATACCTTGGGCAGCAGTCTTGCACGGCTTGTTTCAGGTTTCGCTCTGTTACTTGAGCCCTAAACATTGTTCGAGCTTCAAGACTTTGGACTCTGGGGTTTTGCGATGTTCTATATCCGTTGGCTTGAGGCTTCAGCTTAAAAGGCGTTCTGCGTCTTGCACTTTCCCAAGAAGGTTCTGAGGCTTTGGGCTCCTTAGGTCGGCCAAGGGAGCTACAGTCTATTCCTGAAGGCTCCTTATAAGAAAAGTGTATCAACATGTAAGACATACTCCAAAACCCTATTCGAAGTGTTAAGGTGCCTAGAGGACCCCTTGCAGCGCCCGCACCCGACCTGAATCTGAATAGCCGCGCCTGGAGAGTCCAAGTGGCGAGAGTCCAAAGCCCAAGAGGGGTTTAGGGTTTAGGCCTGAAAAGTCTGAGGACGCTTTGGGGCTATGGGGGTGGAGGGGACCCTTACCAGAAACATCTTGTTGTGAGTTGAAACAGGGCATCTGAGAGTAGGACTAGCCCAGACCCATCCCCGACTCCAATTCGTCCAGCAGCTCAGCGCCCTACTCCGCATAGATACACCGCAACCTACGTTTGGAGATCTCCTTTCAAAATTCGCGAGGAGGCGGACCCCAACAAAACCTAAAAAGCTACCGTTGCAACAGACATATTTTTCAGCAGTCCGGATGAATTTCGAGCGACGTGGAGACGCTAAGCCCTGATTGCTGCACCCATCTGAAAGTCGATCGCTAAGGTCGCTAAGGTGCATCAGGCAGCCTCCATCCTGGATGACCTTGGCTCCAGGAACCGAGTGAGCCCTGTAGACTTGATAGTACATTCCCTCATTCAAGTCGGAGACCTTATAGAAGCTCGTATAAAACCCTTCAAAGCTATACACAACCCTTGCAACAAGCACAAAAACCTGTGAAACAGCACGGGCTCCACAAACTCGTCTTGCCAAGTTCGGCCACAGTACGGCTCCAAAACCCGAAGCTACTCGAGCGCGCCTTCCAGCAAACCCAAGGTTTCTGTTGCCTTCCTAACCCTAAGCTCCCCACTCTCGCATGGCCACGACGATGCCCACAAACGGACCCCAAGGGAGGAATTAGAACTCACTGTTTGGGTTTTGGCCCAGGCTTAGGGTTGCGACGGACTTCGAGTCTGCGAAGACACAATCACTAGGCTTTAATCATTACTAGGTTGATGACCCCAGGTCCAAACAGGAACGTACTTATCACCACAAGTCTAAGATCCAGCTTGGCTTGCAAGTCCCACGATTAAACCCTAAACCCGAAACCCCAAAGCCTAAACCCAAAACCCGAAAGCCTAAACCCAAAGCCCTGAGCCCAAAAGCCCAAAGCCCAAACCTATGGGCTTTAGAGCCGCGGGTTCTGCGACTCTCGGGGGTCTCTTTTTGGGGATTCGGCTTCAGGTTGCAGCTCTACTCCTCTGAAGAGATAAGGCAAAAAACAACTCATCTCTCTCGGGGGACTATCCTTTACTTTATAGAGAAGCCATAATAGACCCTTCTGCACAATGTGCTTTGAACCTCACGCGGCTAACAGTCCCGAGTGGGTGTAGGGCCGTGAATATAAAGGTCTACGGATCTCCATATTAACTAATGCGCAATCGCCAAGACAGGATTGCACACCCCGCTATGATGACCTCCTAGATCGAAATCCAAACCTTAAGCCGACACCCTGAAACTTGGCCAGTGGAAACAAAGGCACCGCAGAGAGGACGAACTCCGCGTTTCGTCGCAGCTCCTTTGGAAGGTCTGGGTGTTCCAATTTTGGGGGGAGGACCCAAGGGGGTTTTAGGGCCATAAGAGCTAAGCTTTTTTCAGGATCAAAGTCACTTTGAATTCTGCGTGACCGTTTGGGGCTCAGGACTGACATTGCTCAAGATCTGGGCTGCCAGGGTTTATGTTTGCGATGGCGGATCAGCCTTGAAAAACTGTTTCCAGGGCGTATATAGATATAGTTCTCTATTGGGGTCCGTTTATGGATCCCCAATATACTACGGCACCCTTATAAAAAGGACCCTCAAAGGGACCCTATTTTAGAGAACTACTAGACCGGAATTTCTGGCACCGCAGCTGTTCGGAGATCATCAGTGTAGCTTTCGGGTACTTGGAGTGCAACCAGAGCCGGCAAGCTTACTATACTTACGATATAGACAATAGCCCCCACAGCCCAAATCCTGATCCCTGAGGCCCAAGCCGTTTTACCGACAGCGGCCCGCAGCCCAAAACACTAACCCGAACCCCAAGCCAAATCTCAGCCAAAACTCAGTAAACCCCGAAGGAGAACCTGAACCGTAGCCTTCTCTCCCACCCTGTCAACACCCTCAATCCAACCGTAACTTTCGGGTAGTGAGGGGTCTAAGCCTTAGGGATCAGCATAGGGGTTTTGGAGAAAGTCATGCTAGAGGCTATAGTTCCAATAGCTAGAAGAATGCTATGGGATAGTGTTGTGAGAAATATTCCAGCCGGCCATTCACGCGGTCCTCCGAGGCATGCACCATCGCCCAGCCACCCTGCTCGGTGATACCTGGTGGCCCATAACTTGGAGGGACGTGTGGGCCCCTAAAATGCACCCCTTGGGAACCCTTATAAGGGTACATGTAGTGTCTATAGTATCTACAGGAGGACCCCAGGATATGACAGGGTTAAGGGCCTATGGCTTCAAACCTTAGACGCAAGTTCAGAGAACAGCGCCTGAAGTTCCGAAGCATGGGCCGCAGACGATATCCTCGCCCCCCAAGCCCTGTAAGCACCGCCAGTACCTTCAAGCCCATACCTCTCTCACAGAGCATAAACTTGGCAAGTATGGTTTAGACTTTAGAAACTTAGAAGTATGGTAAGCAGGACTGGATTTATATACTTTTATGGCTCCCAGCCAACTACTTAGAACCCTACTTATGCCTTCCTCCGACTCATCACGTGCGCCCATTCCTCTCGGCCTGAGAGGATAGCTTCCGCATGTGGCAGCGATGCGGACTTGACACCCCCAAAGTGCATCGCCATGGCGGCAACGACGTCTTGTAACAGAGTCTTATAGGGTTTGGAGCTGGCTAGGTGCAGGGCTTTGGCCTTGGGTTACCTTGTGGGTTGGGTGGTTTGCCATTTAGGGGACCTTGGGCCTGAGGATGTCGCTAGGTTTCGTTCCGGACTGACTTGGCGCGGGCTCCCCCTGCTTCGGCTGGATGTCCAGACTGTGTCTCAAGCCCTCGTGGAGGCTCCACGACATGATTCCTAGCCGCCTTTCGAATTTCAGTATGTAGAGCTGTGTTTCGCACTAGAGCTGTGTTTCGCACTGCGCTGTGTGGGTGTGTGTTTCTGGAGGGAAATGGTGGAAGCATCACTCAAGATGTAAAGAAGGTGAATCTGAATTCATCCTGTTCCAAAACATCGCTGCTGGGTGGATCAGTGAGTGAAGGGCGGACTAGTGGGATGAGTGGATGAGCGGGGAGATACCTACCAGTAGCATCATGAGGGCCAAACAGCGAGCAGGTACAAGACTCCGAGACATCGTTTGGTGCCACTTTGGAATGCTAGCCCTTGCATGGACAGAGCGAAAAGGACTGGACATACATATGCTTTGTCGAGCCTGTCTACCATGACCTGATGCCGCCTGTCTATCAACAGAGGAAGAACAGTAAAGCGGAACCAGTAATCCCTTCATTCGCATCCAGGTATACGGCATCGGCCGCATGCGCATCTCGCATCAAATCTTATCCATCCTAGTCCACTCCGAGAAGGTGCTGGCATCCCGTCCAGGACAACGGGGTTAAGCTAAGATGTTCGGAGCTCCCAAGAGCCAAATCCAAATGTGTCGTTGCTAATCTCGAAACCTACCAGAAGCCCCGAAGACGAAGATCTACGCATGTATGCTGTGATCGTCCTGGTAGCTACGATTTTGGCGGGCACCTGTATTGGTGAATATCAGTGGCAACTGCAAAAAGCATAGCAACACGCGGTGCGACTGTGCAACACGAGCACTAAGGCTCACTACGGGCATCAGTCGAATAGATGGCCTGGAAACCTAAAGCCAAAATCCTATGGCTTCATGTAGCCAACTCATCTATCCAGAAAACGGGCATGACACTCGAACAATATAATATAAACATGTTCGCGTGATTGTTCATGGTATCTTAGCTGGTCTAGATAGACCGTACAGTCATCAGAGCCTTGCACCAGGCGTCACGGCACGGAAAGCTAAACGTGGTCCTCAAATACCGGTTTTACCAATCCTAGCGCAGGCACAGGAGTGCGATACCAACCAGACACAAAGATACACGGACAGCCCTGATTGCTCGTTGCTACCTTTGTCAGTGCCAGTCGGACAAAACAACAAGCCCTGGCAACAGCCCTCCCACGTGCTTTGCCGCTCCCTAAGACTAAGCTCCACGAGCTTTCGGGTTCAGGGGTAGCATTAGGCTTCAGCTCTAGGCCGTGAGCTTCCTGAAACCCCACCCTCAAAAGCCTTTTTGCAAACACTAGACCCTTATAAAAACCTAAACCCTCGACCCCTACACCCTATAAAACCCTAAAACCTTGACAAAACACACCGGTCGTCGCCAAAGCTGCAAGCTCTGCCTGGGAGCAGGCGATGCACTTCGAGCGGGCGTCCGGCCCTGCGTAGGGATTGAGATCTGTATCAGGTGGTTGCTTGGAGGATCTTGGGACTTAGCAAGTGGTGTGATAAGTACCTTAATTGGGGTTATAAGTAAGTTTCAGTAGAGTTACATTACTTGTAGCCTCAGTTACTAAGTCCCATGATCCTTTAAGTGGGCTTACCAGCACCCCCCAACTACCCACGATTATACCCTAAATACCCATGATTAAGGACCATCTGGGCTCTATGAAAGGGTACTTGGCCCCTGGAGCTTCCTTTGTAATACTTATTTCGATCCTTTGGGGTTTTGCTATTGAAATCTTGGAAAGCGGCTATGTTTCAAAGACCGGCCATAAATCCTTAAAAGCGGCCATATCCGCTAAATTCGAGTGGTGCTGCGATGCCTCAACATTTCAGCATCAAACCGCACCGTATCCATATCATTGGACCCCGCGAGGTGTGCCTGTGCATGTTTGTTTGTGCACGCATGCCCCGCCTCACCCGAAAGTACCTGAGTTCGTGGCAGGTCCAACATGTTTGGGTGCATTTTGCATCTACAGATCCTGGAGGTCGGCTCGGCTTGTTTGAGACCATTCAGAGGGCTGGTGTGCTTTGCAAGATTGCATGAGGATTGACGTTCATGCATGTTGGCTTCTCAATGACTTTATAAGGCTCCATGGATTCGCGAATCATGTGCAGCTAGGTGTATGTGCACATGTGCTAGTACGTACATTCTATTGGACGATGCATTCCTCGAACACTGACGCCATGGAAACTGGGGACATTACCACCTGTTCCTGCCCTGTGGTTTCGGCTTGGCAAAAGAGTACTTCGGTGATGTCGCAGCTTCTGAAAGATAAGCTCGTGATTCTGCAGTATGCGACTTTGGGCAGAGCCTCCTTATCGGATAATATTGACCTGTTGGCTCCCCTGATCAGCACCGTGGGATTCTTGCTTGAACTTGATCATGCTATTTGTATAACTCTCTATCCCCAGCTGAATGATTTCCCACCATCCCAGGAATGCGACCAACTGTGCCCCTGATCGGCGAGTACTTGAAGCGATTTTATACCAACACTTTGCCAGCGACTCGAAAGGCACCGACAGGCCAGCATTCAAAACTCTCTATAGCATCATGAGCATGACCATCCTCGCACACATTCATTCGCGATTTGTGTCAGGCAACGATCTGCAAGCCCAAGCTTGGATTATCAGAAATCTGATAACAATCTTCGCCAAAGTTGCAAAGAGACCACACAAACCCCGGTGTGTGGGAATCTGCGAGCTTTTCAAAAAGTCGGGGCTCCCTGTACCTTCTTCAAGCACCTGGGCTCTAATTTGCAATATGTAAACCCTACAGCTACTTAAGCCATATAGCTACATAGGCTTGCTATAACCATAGAACCCTATTAACTCAATCCCGTAGCGCCAACGGCTTGCCATCCGAGGTGGAGGATCGAGGCATGGCGACGATAGTGGGGACTCCTCGGCAGAGGAGTCTGTTGCCGCTGACAATTCGGGGGATGAGGGTGGCGAAGCAGGGGGCGAGTCTGAGGATGTGGAAGATGATTTGGAGGTTGATGCATTGCCTGACGGTGATCTAGGAAGCCCGCCTGCAGAAGCCTCGACAATCCCGCCGCCAGAAGCCTCAACAACCCCGGTGCCAGAAGCCTCAACAACCCCGGTGGCAGAAGCCTCGACAACCCCGGCAGCAGAAGCCTCGACAACCCCGGCAGCAGAAGCCTTGACAACCTTGGCAGCAGAAGCCTTGACATCCGCAGAAGCTTGACTGAAATTATCTATTGCAGTGTATACAGTATGTAGCTATATACAGTACATCTGAACATATCCCAAAGCTGCCTAGGAGCTGGGTGCCCACAACCTTGCAAAGCTTTCGCTACCAGGCCACAATCTGCAGAATATAGACCCTACAGCCAATAAAACCACCCGGCCCACAGGTGTGATTCCCCGGACAGCTCCCTCGGACTCTTCCTCGTCGGTGATCGTGACGCCACCGCCCAAAGGCTTCTTGGTGGCAGTGGCACCTGTCATGGACTTGAGAGTTCTAGCTTTGAGTTTCCGAGGTTTGCCATATTCTCCTCAGAGCGAGGCAAAGAAACGTGGGAAACATTACTTTGTAAAGGACAAGACTTATGGGTACCGCTGTTTGAACTGCGATTGTGCGAGCCAGGACTTAGCTGTTTTGAAGGCTGTTCTATGCCAGCCACCAAAGGGCTCGGAGGCCAGGATCGAGGCAACGACTGACGCTGAGCTTGAGCTGGAGAAGCTACGTGATCTCGAGGCCGAGGGTTATCAGCTTCAGGAATTGCTTATGCACGAACAGCAGCAGCTGGAAGAGATGATGATGCAAGCTGAGATAGACGAGCTAGAGAGACAGCTAGCCCAAGAGGAGTATGAGCTACATGAGGCCAAGATTCGTAGCCTAGAGGATGCTGCACGCGAAAGCACCAAAAGGTCGTTGGATGCATCGTTTGGGCCAGGATCAGCAAGCAATGCACGGCAGGTGGATGCAGCAGCAGAAGCAAGGGATGCAGGGCACATGGATGTAGCAGCAGCAGAAGCAAGGGACGCAGGGCACGTGGATGTAGCAGCAGCAGAAGCAAGGGGTGCAGGGCACGTGGATGTAGCAGCTCCAGAGGCAAGGGACGCAGGGCACGTGGATGTAGCAGCAGCAGAAGCAAGGGATGCAAAGCGGCCTCGCATTGAACAGTCCAGCACTGTAATCAGCACTGTGGCTGGTTGTGGGGATGCCGAAACCCTAGCAAAGAGTGCGCTGCTTGGTGGGCCTTCCATGCCTTCCGTTATTGGACGCCTAGCTTAAATGTGCTGCAACAAATTATTTGGGATCATTGAAAACCCTAGGTCCTAGCCTAGCCCTAGACCCTAGACCCTAGACCCTAGACCCTAGACCC